GGCACAATATATGCATACGTATGTACACATAAAAACAACACACTCACACATATATGCATATTAGTATAGTGGTGCCCACCCTGTGGAACTCCCTCCCTTCAGATGTCAAGGAGATAAAAAAACTACACAACTTTTATTTTATTTTTATTTTTTTAAATCATATTTATTGAAATTTCCAAAATACAGAAAGTAAAAATAAAACAAAAATAAAATACATTTAAAACCTTACTTTCATTACCCACTTTCTGGGACTCCCCCCTCCCCCATCCCTACCATATTCCCCTTTCATAACGTTGGTTCTACAAGCTCTCACTCCCAATTTAAAATTTAATTTGTTTAACCCAATATTCAAATTTAAATTTATACAGTCATCATCATTACCTTAAATAAAAATCAAAGATTCTCTCCCCAAGGTCCACCCCATTTTCCTTCCACGAGTTCCCTTTTTTTAATAAAGATGCCCCAACAAAGTATAAAAACTATATAGAAATGTAAAAGATAACAAGTATATAAAAAGAAAAATTCAGCAAATAGTTACACAGCCTTTGGATTCTAAATCTCCCCCCCCCCTTCCCCGGTTTAGATTCCCCATGTTCATCAGTCTATCTGTTGTCTGCCTGGAAATCTTAGATCGATAATCAGATTTTCCCCCAGTTCCTTGCCAGTTTTTTTTTTAAAGTTATTTTTATGGTATTTAACTTCAATCTCCAATCCAAAAACGGCCCCTAAGGGCCTTTAGTTTCCTTGGTCTTTAAGGCTCCCCCCATTGTTCTTTCCATGTTGTAGTCCAGTTTCTTGTCTTGTTCCGCTGCTAAAACGTTCTAATTCAGGAATTTAGTAGCTCTGCAGGGGTTGTTGTTCTTCAGGAACAAAAACTTACGTTCAGTCCCTTCCTTTCTTCAATAGAAAATTCTATTGTCTCCTTTAGTATAAACACCCCTGTAGACAAAATACTATTTCAGTTTTGCAGCTTTCCCAGGAGATAACAAGTCCTGTACAATTCCAAGAGTATTTTTCCACTTACGTCCATCTTTGTAATGTCCCGAAACCCCTCTAGGGGGATTGTAGTAACTTTGTTTCCTCTGATCCAAAAGTCCGATTGTTGTTCCATATTTTCGACATTTTGTATCCAAATCGTAGCATATTGTAACGAAATCAACTAGCAAAGTCCTCATAGCAGAGTCCTCTTTAAATTTTCCGACTTTGACAGCTACTTTGACAGCTGTCAAAGTCTCCGTCTCTTTTCACCAAGCTCTCTCACAAATCGCCCCGGTTCCCAGGGGGGGTTACGTTTTCCTTCTCCCTCCACTCTTCTCCTCCAGCACAGTTCTTGTAGTTTTCCATCGTGGAATTCTTAATTTTTGTCAGAAGTACACTTCTTTCTAGACCTTGGTTACCCAGTCCTTGTTTTAAAATGTTTACAGTAGGGAGGGGGACTGACTTTTTTGGATCCCCCCCACCGCTCGTGCCCAATCCGGAAAAAAAATTCCTTTTTTTCTCCTTTTAAACCCGGTTTCCAAATTACTCACGGGCTGTTGTTAAAAGTCCGAATTTTCAATGGACGAGGTCAGCGCTCTCCGCCGGATGGCATGCGGCTTCGCTCGGCAGGGAAAGCAGAGGACTCAAAGCACCACGCCACTCCCCGGCACCCGATCCGTAGCCTTTAAAAAGGCTCCTTCACGAGTCGGGAGGGCGCTAACGGTGCCAGCCGAGTCACCCATGTCCACGGGCTCCGTGCCCGTGGTTTTTAAGGGTCCCCGCGTCGCCGGCGCGGTAGGACCCAGCCCCTGCCGAGCAGGCTCCCTCCGGAGCTCGGAGGGAGTCCGCCATTCGGCGATGGCGCCAACCCGGAAGTCCCAAAAAAAACTACACAACTTTTAGAAGACGTCTGAAGGCAGCCCCGTATCAGGATGTCTTTTATGTTTGATGCTTTATAGTTTATTATGTTTTTATATGTGCTGTAAACCGCCCAGGGAGGCTGGGGAAATCCAGCCAGATGGGTGGGGTATTATAAATAAATAAATAAATAAATAAATATTTTAAATTAAAAACACACACACACACACATATTCAATGACCAATAAAAGAAAATACAATACACACACACATACATGTACAGTGGTACCTCAGGATGCAAACAGGATCTGTTCCGGAGCCCCGTTCACATCCTGAACATACCATAAGACGTGACAGCGCGTCTGCGTGTGTCACCGTTTCCGCGCATGTGCATAATGTCTTTTTGACTGTCAGCGAAACCCGGAAGTAACGTGCTCCGTTACTTCTGGGTCGCTGCGGAGCGCAACCCGAACGAGCTCAACCTGAAGTGTATTTATCTTGAGGTATGACTGTATATGAGGGACGCGGGTGGCGCTGTGGGTTAAACCACAGAGCCTAGGACTTGCCGATCAGAAGGTGGGCTGTTCGAATCCCCACGACGGGGTGAGCTCCCGTTGCTCGGTCCCTGCTCCTGCCAACCTAGCAGTTCGAAAGCATGTCAAAGTGCAAGTAGATAAATAGGTACTGCTCTGGCGGCGTTTCCGTGCGCTGCTCTGGTTCGCCAGACGCGGCTTAGTCATGCTGGGCACATGACCCGGAAGCTGTAAGCCGGCTCCCTCGGCCAATAAAGCGAGATGAGCGCAGCAACCCCAGAGTCGGCCACAACTGGACCTAATGGTCAGGGGTCCCTTTACCTTTTATGACTATATATATTTACTGAACCTAATGGTCAGGGGTCCCTTTACACACACACACACACATATATATATATATATATACACACACACACACACACACACAGAGAAATATATATATACATATACATATATATATATATATATACACACACACACATATACACACACACATATATATATATAATATACATATATACACGTACGCATATATTTAATACATACACACATACACACACACACACATATATATATATATATAGTACATGCATACACACACACACACACACAAACACACACACAATATATATATTTTATATCTTACACCCACCCACACCAGTATACACGCACATTCACTCACAGTCACATTCACACGCACAACGGCCAATTCAAAGCAAGCCCTCGCCTTGCCTCGCCCGTTTATGACGGAGCAGGATTTGATACCGGAACCGCCTCGCTGCGGGGCCGAGTTTCCAGCCGGCACCTTCCCTCCCGCGGCCTATTTCCGGTAAGGGCAAAAAGAGAGAGAGAAACACAGTAAAGAGAGGCGGGGAAGGAGAAAAGCGAAGGACCCGGAGGCAACTTCCGCGCTTCTCAGTTGCCTCCCCTCATTGGTCGCCGGGGAGCGTCACGTGGGGGCGAGGCGGCCCTGCCCCCTCCGCCACTCCGCCCCCGGGCAGCGCCGGCCCCGCCTCCCGGCTGTTTCGTGTGTATTTCCATTATTATTATCGCTATTATTATTAATATCGCTATTCCTCTCCTCATTTCTCCTCTCCTCATTTCCTCTCCCCCCTCCCCCTCCCAAAATAACGGCCAACCGCCTCAACATCCGGGTACCGGCGGGGAGCTCTTCCTGTCTCCTGGAGCCTCTATAGGGGAGGCAGAGGAAGGAAGGAGGGTTGGTTGGGGGCAAAGGAAAAGGGGTCCCCCCCCCTAGACTGGGAGAAAGGCGGGCTGTGTGTGTGTGTGTATACCTTTATCTCTACAATATTGCATATATTGCGTGTAGCATCCAGACTATTATTATTATTATTATTATTTTTAAAAAACCAGCCTTTTGTTGCCAGTCCCCCCCCCCAATATTCCTCCACTATGGAGTCCAAGACCCCCCTCTGACAGCTGGGGGCCCAGCCCCCCAACCTCCTCCCCCTCTCCAAAAGGTGGGTATTGATTCTTTTAATTCTTTCTCTCTCTCTCTCCCTCCCCCCCCACCTAACCTCAACAAGTTCTTCTGAGATTAGGGGGGGGGGGTTCCCCACCCCACAGCCCTGTGATTTGTAGGAAGGGGTGGGGGTGGGGGTGGTCGGTTATTGGTTTGTTTTCATTGAGCTTTTGGCGTTCTCGTTTTGCGTGTCGCGGGCGAAGGGCGGCGTGCAGTTTGAATAAATAGTAATAGAGTCATAATTGCTCCCATTTCCGATTCCATGAGCTGGGCAGGAGTGGGTGGGGTGTTAACTCCCCATCTTGAAGTCGTGGTGGGTGGGTGGGTAGGTGGGAGGCGGTTACCCTTTTCTGTTGTTAGGAGCGGGGATTTCAGCTGCCTCTCCCTCCCCTGGGTGTGTGGGGTATATGTGTGGAGGGGGAAACCATTCTCAGGCAATTGGACCCCCCCACACTGAATTGGGATCTCTGTTCTGCACAAGGTCTTCCCTGGCTTCTGTGTTAGGGGAGCGTGGGTTTATTCTGCACCTGTTATCCATGCCTAGGAGCTGGAAATGGATCCACTTCTGGTGGTTTGTGGATGGGAGGGTCCGAGTGGGTGGGTTTGAGGTGTTCTGACCACACCAGGTGCTGTGAGTTTAGTCCTTAGGGGTGGGAGGGCAGGACCTTTGAATTCTCTCCAAAAGTCCTTAAGGCCCTGAATAACGTGTTAAGAATTCTGCTTTACATCCTTTTGCACATTTGCACCTGGAGAGAGCTGTGATTGTGACATCCCCAGATACCTGCCTTTCATTAGCACCTTGGTTTGTGACATCTTCCCCACCCACTCCCCAGAGAGCTTTCCTCTTTCCTAAAACTTCTCCCATACCTTGTAAGTTATCCTGCCCCTTCCTCAAAACACCCTTAATATTTGCTATCCTTTTCTAAGCTAGAAATGGTTCATGATTTCTCATGTCTTCCCCCAACCAGTAAGAAATTGGATCCTGCAGCGATGACCTCTGCTGGGCCGCTAACTCTCAGCTAGTGCCGTGATCTTGAAGCTTGTGGCCTCCTGTGGAAGCTACCAAGAATTTTGGGTTATATCTTGCTGGAAGATTCGAGTTGGCACCGGTTTGCTTATAAGAACGTTGTGCTGGAGCTGAGGGAAACATGGAGTTTGCTGAGCTCATCAAGACGCCACGGGCCGACAACGTGGTCCTTCACCGCCCCTTCTACCCGGCAGTGGAGGGGACGCTGTGCTTGACAGGCCATCACCTCATCTTCTCCTCACGGCGGCAAGACAATGTTGAGGAACTGTGGCTTCTGCATTCCAACATTGATTCCATTGAAAAACGGTGAGGGAGCTTTTATCTTTGCGTTGCAGGCAGTTAACGGAGGAGGAAAATGAGCGACTTACTGCAGAAGAAACATGTGATTTTCATTCAATACCAACATTTGAATGTGTAAGAAAAAAGCATTTGGAGACAGCATGGTGGGCAAGAAAGCACATATACACTCAGGTCATTATTGTCTGCTTCCCAAAGGCATCTGGCTGGCCACTGCGAGAACAGGATGCTGGACTAGAGGGGCCATTGGCCTGATCCAGCAGCAAGTTCTTCTTAGGTCCTTATGAGTTTGTCCCACAAAGCCCTACATAAACTGCCCCCAAGTGACCTGAAAGGCTGTACTCCCATTCCATACTGCCTGAGTTTTGAGATCTTTGGGAGATGCTGCCCTTCTGTCCTGCCATCATCTGTAGCCTGTTTGGCTGGAACTCAAGACAAGAAAGGGCCTTCTCAGTAGCTCCTCTCAAGTTCTGGATCTTCTTAAGAACGAAAGAGCCCCACTGGATCAGACCAAAGGCCCAGCTAGTTCAGTACTGTATCCTGTTCTCACAGCAGCCAACCTGCAGCTTGCCAACTCCTTCTCATAGAATCAGTTTCTTAAGGTTCCTGCAGACAATCCTCCTCTATGCAGGAAGTCTAGGGCTAGAGTGTCCTTGGCAGAAGGCTGTCCAGCCACTACTTAGGGACCTCTAGTGAAGGTGAGCCCATCATCTCACTAGCCAATTTCTGCTCTATAATTACCTTCTCCTGGCTTGATTATTCGGACAGGTCTTCAGTCTCATAAGCTGTTTTTTATGGCCATTGTAAAGTTTTGTTAATGTGTTCCAGCCTGCCTTGTTTTTTTCTTTCTATTATGTATATTTTCTTTTTCTGTTGCCTTCAACACTGTTTGCTGGCATAATATTTTTTTACAGAACACTGAAGAAATGTATCTATGTGCTCAATACTATTCCAAACAACCCTGTTTAATTATTCTCCATTTTACTGAGAGAGGAGGGGTTGCCGGGGCTGACCACCTAAGTATTACTGAGCTGACATTTAGACATAAGGGATGTACAGATCTTATTGGACAGCGACAGCGGTTACACGCCAGTGTCCTGCTATCCCATGGAAATGAACGTGGGTGTAAGCATGCCTGGTTTTGTGCTGGGTCTTAACCAAGGATGGAATCATAGAATTATAGAGGATCATCTCATCTAACTCCTAGCATTGCAGGAATATGTATTGTATGTCCTGCATGGGGATCGAACCTGTGACCTTGGCATTATCAGAACCATGCTCTAACCAGCTGAGCTATCGGGCTGAAGGAAAGCTGTCTAGTACAGAGTGGGACCACTGGTCCATGTAGCTCAGTACTGTGTACGTTGACTGGCAGTGGCTTTCCTGGATTTTGAAAGGGCAGCCTTTCAGCCCTATCGAGATGCCAGGGATTGAGGCTGGCACATTCTGTGTGCAGAACAGATGCACTACCACTGAGCTGCAGCCCTTCTGCGAGAATGGTTGATGGCATGACTTGGCATGCTTGTAATATTTCCCTTAACTGAGTGGGCGGATGCCCTGCCCTGCCAACGCATATACCTCAGGACTGGGGTTTTTTTCAGTTGTGGTGAGGAAGAACTTTTGCCCTAGTCAGATTAGCTAAGGATCTGTTTTATCCTTTTGACTTTTCCCGCTGGTTAGGAGTGGGGAACCTGCCACCCTTCAGATGCTGTTGGACTCCCATCTGCCCCAGGCAGCACGGCCGATGTTGAGGGATGATGGGAATTGTAGTCCTGCACTGTTATCTGGAAGGACACAGGTTCCCCACCTCTGCTACAGTTCACGATTCTGGGAAAGACTTAGCCTCTGCCTTTAAACAAGGGAAAGGTCTGCTCATACTCAACTGAATTTTACTTTATGGCTGTCAGTTTTTATATTTGCACCCTGGAGGGCAGGACTCTGGGGATTAATCACCATATCTAAACTGCTGGGTCAGACTACAAGGTGCATCTAGTTCAGCAACTTGCTTCCTGGAGCAGCCGGCCAAATGCCCACAGGGAGCCCACAAGTAGGGCTTGAAGTCAATGGGCCTGTCTGTTTGCATTGCCCCACTCCCCAGCAATTGTTATCTCATGGTATACTGCCCCTGAGCATGGAGGCTCTGCTTAGCTCCCTTAACTTGTAGGCACTAGGAGACCTAATTGACCTCCATGAATGTGCTTGATCTTTCTTTCAAACGCCCTTTCCTTAAGGCTCGTGGGCACATTGGGATTTTTAAGTGAGCGCCTTTGATTTTTAAGTGGGTGCCTTAGGCACCATACTTCTTGTAGCTTAATTCTTCCCCTGCCTCAGATTAATTCCTATCCCCAAATGAGAGACAGACAGAACGTGCGTGTGGACACACTTCACTTTCCAAGGGACCTGGCTAAAAGTCGGATCAAGTAGAATTAATCTGAGCCTTGAGAACCACATAAGAGGAAGTGGGAAAGAGCGTCAGTCTTCCAACTTCCTAGTTCAACTGTAGGGACTTTCCAAAGGAGGCAGGGGTGACCACCCCTCACCATCTCATGGCCAAGAGGGGTGGCAAGTAGCAGTGCTGGGGGGAGGTCAGAGGCTTTGTGGGCATCAGTAGAAGCCTGCAAGGGGTATCATTGCACCCACGGGCACCACATTAGCAACCCCTGCCGTAAGGTAATTTTGCAGAAGCAATACCTTCCTTTTGTTTGTCCTGAGCCCACTGCTACTCAGAATGAGGCTGTAAGCTAGATGCAGGTGGGTGGGACCATACTTTGGGAAAGGCATTGAAGTTTATACGGTTTGGGTCCCTCCTCTGCCTTTGTCTCCATGACTTCTCCCCTGACGTTTTCAAAATCCCGAGCGAGCAAGAGGCAATTTGCTTGCAAGGGTTCGGTGTTGCTTTTCTCCCGGTAGCCTGGTAGAGAAAGACGAACTGCAATCTGCGGAGCCTTCATTTTTGTTCTCGCATCCTACTCTCTGGCACGCGTTCCTTTCTTCCGAACTAAAGAGCAGCAAGCAGTTTGGAACAGGGTTGAAATGGGACAATTAACCTGCTTGCCCTCCTGCCAGGCTCTTTTGCAATTTCCTTGAATGCGGGTAAATGGGGAACTGGCGCAGCGGAGCTTCTCCTTGTAAGGGCAGCAGTGGCTGGTTGATCTATTTAAAAATATTACCAGGGCCGTTTGGCAGTTCACAGGATTACTTGGAAGGGCGTTAACGTCCCATAGTGGCTGGCTTGTCACTTCTGTGGAGTTGTGTGGCCTGGCTGAAGGCAGAGAGGGGCAGTAGCTCAGGGAGTAGTGCATCTGCTCTGCATTCATAATAATAATAATAATAATAATAATAATAATAATAATAATAATAATAATTTATTATTTCTCCCCCGCCCATCTGGCTGGGCTTCCCCAGCCACTCTGGGCGGCTTCCAAAAAAATATTAAAATACTATAATACATCAAACATTAAAAGCTTCCCTAAACAGGGCTGCCTTCAGATGTCTTCTAAAAGTCTGGTAGTTGTTGTTCTCCTTGACATCTGGAGGGAGGGCGTTCCACAGGGAAGGCGCCACTACCGAGAAGGCCCTCTGCCTGGTTCCCTATAACTTGGCTTCTCGCAGTGAGGGAACCACCAGAAGGCCCTCGGTGCTGGACCTCAGTGTCCGGGTAGAACGATGGGGGTGGAGACGCTCCTTCAGATATACTGGACCAAGGCCGTTTAGGGCTTTAAAGGTCAGCACCAACATTTTGAATTATGCTCGGAAACGTACTGGGAGCCAATGTAGGTCTTTCAGGACCGGTGTTATGTGGTCTCTGCAGCCACTCCCAGTCACCAATGTAGCTGCCACATTCTGGATTAGTTGTAGTTTCCAGGTCACCTTCAAAGGTAGCCCCACCTAGAGTGCATTGCAGTAGTTCAAGCGGGAGATAACCAGAGCATGCACCACTCTGGCGAGGCAGTCCGCAAGCAGATAGGGTCTCAGCCTGCGTACCAGATGGAGCTGGTAAACAGCTGCCCTGGACACAGATTTGACCTGTGCCTCCATGGACAGCTGTGAGTCCAAAATGACTCCCAGGCTGCGCACCTGGTCCTTCAGGGGCACAGTTACCCCATTCAGAAGGTTTAATCAAGGCATAGGCAAACTTGGCCCTCCAGATGTTTTGGGACTATAACTCCCATCATCCCTGACCACTGGTCCTGTTAGCTAGGGATGATGGGAGTTGTAGTCCCAAAACATCTGGAGGGCCGAGTTTGCTTATGCTGCTTTAATCCCCAGCATCTCCACTTTGGGCTGGGAAATGATCTCCATCTGAGACCCTGGAGAGCTGCTGCTGGTCAGAGTAGACCACACTGACCAATGGCTTGGCTCTGTATAAGGCAGCTTCCTGTGTCCCTTATACAGAGGCTGCATCCACATTGTACATTTAAAATGCCGCAATTCCACTTTATAAACAGTCACAGCTTCCCCCAAAGAAATCTGGGAGCTGTAGTTTGTTCAGGTTGCCAAGAGTTGTTCAGGGACCCCTTTATCCCCCTCACAGAGTTACATTCCCAGCGTTCCCTGGGAAGAGGGATTCCCACTGTGGCAATTGTACTCCTGGGAGGGGAGCAGTGTGTTTTGAGGATGTGGCCTGGGTTTGAACTGTACGTATTTCCCTAGAAAAGGTTTTAAAAAGAACATTATTTATGTACCACTCGTTGCGTTTCCGTCTCACGCCTCCCCAAAGACAGCAGTGTTCAGTAAATCAAAATGCATGCTGTAAAAGTCATAAGGTAACTGGAATACACCTCCCACGGGCCCCTGTGGAAGAGCATTCCTGCTGAGATACGACAGGCGCTCACTGTCTGAACCTTCTGGAAACCACTGAAGACATATTTGTTCCAATAGGCGTTCCCAGCTGGATAACCAGGTCCCTGCCATGGGTGTCGCCTTTGTATTTCTTATTTATTTTTATTAATTAGATCACAAGGCTCTTAATCTCAGGGTTGTAGGTTTGAGCCCCACGTTGGACAAAAAGATTCCTGCCTTACAAGCGGTTGGATTAGATGACCCTTGTGGTCCCTTCCAATTCCGCTCCCCTCCCCCCAAACTGTTCAGCAGCTACAGATGTCACTTTGTGTACCTGTCTTAGTTGCCTCTGGGTAAATAACTGGAATGAGGTGGAAGACAAACACCCTTCCTGTTACTCAAGCTTGGCTAGAATATCAGTAAATCGTTGCTGGGTTTTGTAGTATTAACACATGTTCTGCAGGAAATAGGCAAAAAACTGCCAGTGTAAACACAACACTCCCTTGTTATCAGGTTTCCTCCCTGATAAGATGCCTGAAGCAACAGAGAGAGGCTCAGCTGTTTGCAGGAAGGGAGAAAGCTGCCTTTTACTGAATTGAACCTTTGGCCCATTTAGCTCAATATTGTCCACACTGGCTGGCAGCAGCTCTCCAGGGTTTCAGGCAGGCCTTACGTGGAGATACCCAGGACCATCTTCATATAAGGCAGATGACACTGAGCAGCGTCCTCCTGAGTGGGGAAACTGTTTCCTATTGAGGAAGCATGTGTGCTACATGCAGTATAGGGTCAAAAGTTTCAAGAATCCTTGCATTAGACCAAAGGATTGCTTAGACCTGACAGTGCAGAATGTAACCCGCAAATCCCTGGCTGACCTCATCCACTCCTGCTAATTTGGTGCGTCTGCGCCAATGACTTAGCAGTCCCTCGCCATGGAAACCCTGATCTTTTATGTCTGGCCCTTCATGTCTGACTCTCCCTAATCCTTGCTGGTTGCTTGATTGAGCTTAACCTGATCACAACTGTGATCCGCTTTCCTCTTTTTAAGCCCACTTCACTTTCTCTGCTTCTAATGCTTCACACTGACGGGATCGGAGTCCTCCTCATTCCAGTTTTCCCGTATGAGCAAGGGCTCTTCTGTGCATGTCCTGCAGAGCCCTGTGTCATTGTAGTCTCTCTCCTTTCTGCACCACCGTCAAATTATAATACCAAGCTCCTAGCCCTCATGGTTTGGGAGGGAAATCTATGTCTTAGGTAAGTGAAGGAACCAAAGACACACGTAGGCAGGCTCTGCAGAGGCGAAGGATGGAGCTTCATATTTATTTATTTGCATACCACTTAATTGTAAAAGCCTCTAAGCAGGTTACAGAATGTTTAATGTTTTGGGCAGTGGTGGGTGGAATACTTGCAGGAGCAAACCAGCAGGTGTGGGAAAAGCTAAGCAACCCCCTTCCCACTTGACAATTCTCCTTTACAAATCACATCCCACCCCTTGCTAAGATCACTTGCAGTTCTGTTCTTACCATTTTTCAAACCAGCTACTTCTGCGCATTAAATGAAGGGCGTGTTAGCAGCTACATTGCGATGGGTTATAATCTCTTGTTGGTTGCGCTGCTTGCTGTTGAATGCAGCGGGTTCGCTGTAAGCGGCTGCCTTTGCAGGCTTGCAGAGCATCCCTGCAGAGCATCCTTGCACCCTCCTCTTAAACACACCTGCCTTTTGTGTTGCTGCAGTTTTGTTGGCACCATCGGCACCATCATCGTCAAATGCAAAGACCTGCGGATTATCCAGCTTGACATCCCCGGCATGGAGGAGTCTTTGAACATAGCTGGCTCCATCGAGGTAAGCTGATCCGTAGAAGTTGAGAGAACATGGCAAAAACCTGACCCGGTTTTTCAGGAGTCAGAGGCTAAGGTGGTGCTCAGTTCCATAAGAACAGTGGGAATCAAGAAATAAAAGTGCAAAGATGTGTGCGTAAAAATAGCATATATCTGAAGAGTTGGGAGATGTTCTGTTTGCTTATCAAAATGAGGGAACATCTCATTCCATATTCACAGATATAGTCCCCCATCTCGAAGGGTAACTCTGATGGGCCGAAACCTCACTCTCACCTGCAGCCTTAGTCATTGGCTGAGCTGCTGTGATGTCATGGAATGTTTGCAAACATTCCTCTAAGGCAGCGGTTCTCAACCTGTGGGTCCCCCGATGTTGTTGGACTACAACTCCCATCATCCCTGAGCTCTGGCCTTGCTAGCTAGGGGTGATGGGAGTTGTAGTTCAACAACATCGGGGGACCCACAGGTTGAGAAAGACTGCTCCAAGGGGAAAGCTGTCATCAGTGGAATGTTGATAAACGGCGAACCATCAGGAAGGCAAGAGGAAAAGTCAGTCTGGCTGGGCAAAGAAACTCAAGTGCGGACCAGCGGAAGGAGGAGGAGGAGGGCTTCATAAGTGTTCAGGACACAACACACCTCCCGTGATCCCCATTATTCAGACTGGGCTGCTCTAAGGTGCAGCTTCATTCTCTGTGCACCTCCTACTCGTGATGGCTGCACCACTCCCAGCTACTACATTTCTCTGTGACATTCTGAATGCAGGATATTGTAAGGTGATGTGGTGTCCATAACTAGGATATGGTAGGCACTTCTAGTAACCAAGCAAAAGAAAAGTGGCAAAGGGCAGACCTGTTCTTTCCTATACCCTGTGCACCATGTACTGGGATAGCCTGCATGTAGCCAGTTCCATCAGGCCTCCCATCCGTGCAGCCATTCCAGCAGATTGCCTCAGGGGGAGAGATGGGAAGCCGAGCTTACCCCTTTGCCAAAAGCCCAGCTTCGCTGTGCAGCTCCTTCCCCTAGTCATTATAAGAACAACTGTTTAGAAATTGATGCCCGAGTTTTGATTCTGGTTTTCCTCTTCCCTCCTTGGCCCTTTCCCCTTGTGTGCCGTGCTTTTTCTCTGCTTGTAATCCAACGTAGGTTAAACCACAGAGCCTAGGACTTGCCAATCAGAAGGTCGGCGGTTCGGATCCCCGCGACGGGGTGAGCTCCCGTTGCTTGGTCCCAGCTCCTGCCAACCTAGCAGTTCAAAAGCACGTCAAAGTGCAAGTAGATAAATAGGTACCGCTCCAGCGGGAAGGTAAACGGCGTTTCCGTGCGCTGCTCTGGTTCGCCAGAAGCGGCTTAGTCATGCTGGCCACATGACCCGGAAGCTGTATGCCTGTTGGGATACTGCCAGGGAGACAAAGCCCATCATGGCCCCACATCGCCTCCGGACGTCCATCGATCTCCCGTAGACTCGCAGTATCAGCAATTAGCGACACGAGCTCCAGAAATAGCTTGCCACATTCCGGGGCTGATGCACGCTCTTATCAGCCGATAATGCACAGCGAAAGATGCACGCAGGAGAGCATTTTTCATAAGTTTATTCTGCGTTAGTCAGAACAGAGAAAAACATGACTGCCTGCTTCAGTGTTTCAGACACTGAGAGAGAGAAACGAAAGCAATAGAAAACATAAACATCCTGTGAACAGGAAATGCGCAGACTCTGTGACTCACAAAGCTTGCTCCCTTTTAAGGTGGAACGGAAATATCCTAACATCGCCGGCTCCCTCGGCCAGTAATGTGAGATGAGCGCCGTAACCCCAGAGTCAACCATAACTGGACCTAATGGTCAGGGGTCCCTTTGCCTTTAAGCCGACACCCACCTGTCTTTGTTGTATGTGATTGTATGTTCTCGAAGCTACAAACATGAGCCTGACCAAACTGCGGGAGGCGGTGGAAGACAGGAGTGCCTGGCGTGCTCTGGTCCATGGGGTCACGAAGAGTCGGACACGACTAAACGACTAAACAACAACAAATGTGTCTGGGAGCCTTTTTGGCCGAAGAGCGTTGTACAGATGCTTTAAATAAACAATAAACAGCTGCTGTGGAAGCAAAATGCTTCTAAGGGGCCGAGACCCACTGAACCTTCAGGATCGTTCAATAAAATTATGTCTCTGCATATCTGTGTTTTCTGTCCCGCAGGCACTGTCCACCTTGGATTCCATCACCCTGATGTATCCTTTCTTTTACCGGCCCATGTTTGAAGTCATCGAGGATGGCTGGCACTCCTTCTTGCCGGAACGGGAATTTGAGCTTCTCAGTTCAGTTGTAAGTCCCTGTTCTTGGAGCAATGCCTCTCCTGCTGCGCTTAGGGAGAGGGAGCTTGCATAAAATGGGAACTTGTAGTGGGGATGGGGAGGGGACATGGTTCTCCATGGAATGAGCGCTACCATTTTGAGGGGAAATCACTTCCTACCAACCCTGGGGAAGACCATTCGGCTCATGAGGTGCACAGTGGAAACTCCACCCGCCTCTCTGCCCTTCTGGCATTTGTAACTGAAGTGCACACAGTGTTTTTTGTTGCAGCCTTGTAAGACTTCTCGTGCCCTCAGGCTGGAAAAGCTTCCCCAGCCCTGGATTAAGTAAATACAGCTTGTGTTTGGCATTGACCTCTGCACTTGCGGGATTGCAGAATCTGCCAGTCTCCTCCCTGCCCGTGTGTGTCTGATTTTACACACCAGCTTTGTTTAAAGCTCCATAAAGTGGCTGCCTTGTAGGGTGCTAAATTATGTAGCAGCACTGAGAGGCGGGGAAGGCCAATCGACAAGATGTCTCTTGAAGAGGCAGCTAAGTGGGTGGGTATGTGCCTCGATTAGGAGGAAAAATGAGTCAGGAAAACCGTGTTGCAAAGAGGCTGCTCTTAGCCGGCTGAGGATCCTTGGGGACTTTTGTCTGCTCCTGAAATCTGATGGCTTAAAGCCACAGTAGTTTACTATTATTTCTGATCCCCAACCTCTGGAAATCCCATTACATTACCTTCACCCTTAGTTAACCATGATTTTTCTCCCCTCCAGACAAACGAATGGCGGTTGAGCTACATCAACAAAGATTTCTCCGTCTGCCCCTCTTACCCGCCCATCGTCACTGTCCCCAAATCGATTGACGACGAATCCCTCTGGAAAGTTTCCACTTTCCGCCACGGTGGGCGCTTCCCGGTCCTCAGCTATTACCATAAGAAAAATGGGATGGTGAGTTGGTCGAGGTGGTTGAGTTTCAACTGCAAACGTATACTTGTTTCCTGGATGTGCATATTCTCAGATCTTGACCTTGAGGGCAAATATTAAATCCTCCTTCCCCATCCCTTTGAAAACAAGTGCATAGGTTGCATTACACTTTTGGCATTTTAACCTAAAATTGCACCCTGAGTGTGCATGCCAACTTTCATCCCGCTACCTTTGTGTTCAGGGGAGATGGGGCGCGCGTTTGCAGAATAACTTCTGCCAAGCAGATGGTTTGGCAAGGTAAATGGAAGTCCTTGCTTTCCCACGCCAAGGATTCCTGACACCCATTTTGCCTTTGGGCCGAGTGGACGTTCTTCTTCAAGTGAGGTGTCAGATCCGTGGGCCGGTGGAAGACTCAGCTGAGGCGTCGCCTGCTCACTGGAAACCGTTTGCCCTTCCTAGGTGATGATGCGCAGCAGCCAGCCGCTCACGGGTACCAACGGGAGGCGCTGCAAAGAGGACGAGAAGCTGATCAACGCCACGCTGAGAGCCGGCAAGCGGGGCTACATCATTGACACACGCTCTCTGAGCGTCGCTCAGCAAGCCCGGGCCAAAGGGGGAGGCTTTGAGCAGGAAGCCCACTACCCCCAATGGCGTAGGATCCACAAGTCCATTGAGAGGTGAGTTGATGAGTGAGGCATGGTGTAAAGGACCTCATGAGTATAAAGGCATGGTATAAAGGACCTCATGAGGTTGTTGCTATGTTCTAAGACAGGGATAGGGAGCCTGTGGCATCCCAGATGTTAAACATAAGAATCGGGTCAATGGCTTATCTAGTTCAAGCATCCTCCCCTCACAGATATCTTTATCTACCCAGATATCTCTTATGGGAACCTGCCTCCTGGGAAGGCCTGTTGGAACAAAAATGTCTCTAGTCGTTTCCAGAAAGTGCAGACAGTGGGTGTTTGCTGTATCTCAACAGGAATGCTATTCCACACAGAAAGTCCTGCTCTGAGTTACCACAGAGCTGGCTTCTGATTTCTTTGGAACTTGAAGGAGAAATTCTCCTACAGATCTGGAGCCCATTGCAGAATCACTGTAGGTAAAAGGTAAAGGACGCCTGGATGGTTAAGTCCAGTCAAAGGCGACTATGGGGATGCGGCGCTCATCTCACTTTCAGGCCGAGGCAGCCGGCGTTCGTCTACAGATAGCTTTCCGGGTCATGTGGCCAGCAGAACTATACCGCTTCTGGCGCAACGGAACACCGTGATGGAAACCAGAGCGCACGGAAACGCCATTTATCTTCCCGTTATTTACCTATTTATCTACTTTCACTGGCGTGCTTTCGAACTGCTAGGTTGGCAGGAGCTGGGACACAGCAATGGGAGCTCACCCCGTCGCAGGGATTCGAACCGCCCACCTTCTGATTGGCAAGCCCAAGAGGCTCAGTGGTTTAGACCACAGCACCACCCGCATCCCATAGAACAGGTATAGGCGAACTCGGCCCTCCAGATGTTTTGGGACTACAATTCCCATCATCCCTGACCACTGGTCCTGTTAGCTAGGGATCATGGGAGTTGTAGTCCCAGAACATCTGGAGGGCCAGGTTTACCTATGCTTCCCTTTAGAATCACTGCATGAGGCTTAAGGAGATGCAGAGGTGGTGTATGTGTGCACTCAACTCCGAGCTCTTTGGAGGAAGGCTGTGGTAGCAATATAATAAATTTTAAGGTGGGATATTTTACAGTCCAATGCTTGCACACGGCCAGTGAACTGAACTGGAGTGGGTTGTCTCTGTGGTCTGCCGAGTTCGTAAAGCAGCCTGTGATGATATCGCAAACATATTTCTCTGAGGTAGCTGAGAGTACGAAATCTGAAAGTTCAGATCCACTGGGCACCAAAAGAATCACGGCAGCATTCTGTGTGAACCTCCTTCCCAAACGATTGTGTCTGATGTCTCTTATTTGACTGGCTTCAAATTTATTGTAAATCGACAGGCAGTGTCTGGGCAACTTCAGCTGCCTGATTGCACATTGCCTGATTGCACTGTGGTGTGGAAATGTTTTTTTAAAAAAACCAGAAACAAAACCCATGTTGTTAGAATAGCATACTGAGAGCACGGGCTCTCGTTTTTGCTTATATCAAGCTTCCAGTCCTCAAGGCTATGTTGCAGCATGCAATTTGAAAACATGTTAAAAGACATTAGAATCAAAGGATGGTTTTGCAGGGTTTCAGATATAGTGGTTGAGGGAAGCTCTGCACAAAATAGAAAGTAACGGGGCCTCTTCATTACTGAATTCCCACGGCCCCAAGAAATATGAATATTTTTGCACAGGCTTGAGAATGGATGGCTAATGTAAAAAAAACCCTCATACAGTCAAACCTTGGTCCTCGAACAGCTCTGTTTTCAGACATTTCGGTTCCCGAACGCCGAAAACCCGGAAGTAATTGCTCCGGTTTTCGAACGTTCCTCAGAACTCGAACATCCCAACACAGCTTCCGCTTGAGTGCAAGAAGCTCTTGCAACCAATCGGAAGCCGCGCCTCGGTTGTTGAATGTTTCAGAAGTCAAATGGTCTTCTGGAACGGATTACGTTCGACAACCAAGGTTTGTTTCGGTCAATTTTGGAAGAGTTAATCTAGCTCTGCCGATCTGGTTATTTCTGTAAATTTTTTGTTTGCAAACACTGCCCTTAGCCTCCAGCAGGAATTTTTAGATTCCGGAAAGCTGATACCAGGTTCTTCACTTGTGAGGTAATAATATTTCTAAAAGTATAGAAGATAAATTATTTCTAAATAAAATAAGGTTTTGTGCAGAGGTGCAGTTACACTCTTGCAGATGATGAGTGGGGGCATTTTTAAAACCAATTTTGCAAATTAAAAACAGGAACGAAAAATATAAAACAGAACTAATGCAAAATTAATAAAATTCTGGGTGCATATAGAAATTACGCAATTCTTGGTTTATATCTTTTGTAAAAGATTGCCCATTCTTAATTGCAACATTTTCTCTTCTATTTAAAGAAAGGAACTATCCCCGATAGATTTCCTCAAGTGTGTGGGTAGAGGGGAGAGAATTAACCTCTTTTGTGTTTGGTTTGCTGACAGCCGTCTGGGTTTGGGGTTTTCTTGGTTATAATTTTAGGTGAAGCACCTCCATGGACTCCTCTTTTAATTGGTTTCATCCTAGTAAGTGTGTCCAGTAAATCAGAACCCCGAAGTCCATTTCCACGGGAGGCTCCTGTCAGCTTCCTTTTAAATCCTGCCCCGTAAGCCTTCGTGCCTTACAGTTCATTGCCCCTGTTTCTTGCTGCTGCTTCTGCAGCTGACAGACCTTGAGTTCACCAAGGTTTGCTTCTCTCAATTAAGATCCTTCCTGCTCTGCTTTCTTGTCCTCTCCTCCATCTCCCCCTTCTGCCCTGTGGGCATCCAATCAAAGGACATTAAGTGTCCCAATTCATAACCAATTAAATGTCCTGTGACCAGTCCCTGGGCGCAGGAGAGAGGAAGTGGCTTTAGACCTCCGGGCAGAAGTTACAAACCCATGCTCAGCCATGGAACTTGCTGGGTGGACTGGATGCAGTGGACTCTCTGTCTAAACCACAGGCCGTTGGCTTAAGGGAGGGGGGGATGTCACCCACAAAAGCCAAAATTCTATGATTATTATTTTTTTATTATTTATTAAATCTGTACAGTGGACACTCGGGTTGCGAACATGATCCGTGCGGGATGCATGTTCTCAACCTGCGCGTCTGTGCACACGCAGGTTGCGATTTGGCGCTTCTGCGCATCTGTGTCCCTGTCCTCCTCTTCATCATCATCATCATAATGATGATGATGATTATATTTTTATTTATATCCTGTCCTCCCCAGCCAAAGCCGGGCTCAGAGCGGCTAACAATAGTAAAAATAACACAGTTTACATAAAATCACAACCAGTTAATTGAAATGCATTCTAAAATCAATTCATTCTAAAATCAATTCAAAATCAAATTAATGGCAACCATTGGGCTAGAGTTCTATGAGGATTACAGAAGGAGGGGGTCAGACTGCGCCTTGGCCAAAGGCCTGGTGGAACAGCTCTGCCTTGCAGGCCCTGAGGAAAGATGCCAAGTTCCACAGGGCCCTAGTCTCTTGCGACAGAGCATTCCACCAAAAAGCCCTGGCTCAGTTCTGCAAAGGCAACACTGAGGCAGGGGAAGAGGAAGCTGCCAGGCAGTTCCACCCTCTACTAGACTGGTTGTCAATAAGAAGGCAGGCTGAGATTAGTTGATCAGCGCCCCATTCGTCCTAATGGACGAACCACTGATCTGTATTATATATGCATTCACACGTAGAATCAAAGGTAAGCATAGTCCCCAGACACAAACAGCAAGGCTGTGCATCTTGCCATGTTTTGGCTGATGCCATGGCACAATTCAATGTTAGCTTCACTTGGGGATAAGCTTTGCCATTGCTATCGTTGTTCTGTAGACTGCTATCCAGCCTATCTCCAGCTCTTGTCCTGCTTGCAAGGGAGGAGAGCCATGCAAACATACTCCCCCCACACACCCCAAGTTTCTTTCTGTAAATTCAGTGCGTAGATAAGATGGTATTGCCTGGAGTTAGTAGACCAGTGACCAAAGCCAGGTGGTATAGATCAGGGTGTACAGTTGCCACAGAGTCACTCCCTGGGCTCTTTCTGCTCCACCTGCAGGTCAGAGGGAGCAGGTCTCGAACCAAAGCTGTTTTGCTATAACAAGGAAGGCCAGGGATCCCTGGGGCATTTCAGCACTCCAGGTACAACTAGATCCCTTTGCAGGCTCATTGTGGTCATTCTTGTCCCTTCACCCGGTACAACATTCCCCACAGGTACAACATTCTGCAAGAGAGCCTCATCAAGCTAGTGGAGGCCTGCAATGACCAGTCACATAACATGGACCGCTGGCTGAGCAAACTGGAGGCTTCCAACTGGCTGACTCACATCAAGGAGATCCTGACCACTGCCTGCTTGGCTGCTCAGTGCATCGACAGGTGGGACCCACCTTCCGGTTATCTGTTTATTTATTTGCAGGTTTATAAGCAGCGTCACTGTCACCAAACCGGCATGCAATAAGGTAAGATCCAAGAGGTTGCAGGCCCATTAAACATAAAGAAACAAACACGCTTCTACAATTGCAAAATTATTATTCCGTAAAATTATTGGGTCATACTTCGGGGAGAGCGTTTTCAAACAAAAAAGGGCTTTTTTGAATATCAAAATGCTAGGTGCTTGTCTAACTTAGGTTTTCAACTGATTCCAGAAGGCTGGAGATGCAACACAAAAAGCCCTGTTTCTGGTGCATGCTCTAAAAACGCGCACAGGGAGTATGTCGTACGCTTAACAGTGCCCCGTTTGAGGAGTGCAGTTGCTGGGCAAGAATGTATAAGGCCTCCAGTCCTCAGGTCTGAAGTTGTTTGGGGCTTTGGAGATGAACTGCAGTTTAACGGAATGAGCCGCTCCAAACAGCTTTGCTTGTTTAGAACGTTTAAATAAAGAACATAAGAAGAGGATTGCTGCTGGATCAGATCAAAGGTCCATCTAGTCCTCTTATTGCATTCATAGCAGAATTTTCCAGGAAACTCGCTGGCGGTCACGGCCCACTTTGTTTTTCTTGATATCCAGAGGTACGCTGGAATGTGGAGGCTCTGTCCACCTATTGTGGCCAACAGCCTTTGAGAAACCAAAACGTCTCATCAATAAATTTGGCTAACAACCATTGGAGGTTGTTATTCTGGGACAGCCGGTAAGATCTTGCCCACCTCTGGCCTCCAGAAGGTTTCCTGCCAGAGAACATGGACCTTGGGCTGAAAAAGTGTTCCCGCCCCTGCAATATGTTGTCTGTGCATACGCCAGCTCAGTATGTTTGCCTCCCTTTCTCAACGTTCCTCTGGCCCTTTCCTAGGGAGGGAGCATCTGTCCTGGTCCATGGGACTGAAGGCACAGATTCGACACTACAGGTGACCTCGCTGGCTCAGATCATCCTAGATCCCAGATGCAGGACCATCCGCGGTTTTGAAGCTCTGGTTGAGAGGGAGTGGCTGCAGGTAAGAGCTGACGAATTGCTAGTTCCTGGGTGTGGTGAGGAGCCCACAGTAAAAAGTACGCTGCCCAGAAACAAAAGGGCAAATTCATGGGGGAGAGTTCTGCCATTGGCTGTTGGTCGGGACAGCTGCCGCCCCCTTCCCTCTTAGCAACCCTGTAGGTAATCCTGATCAAATCTGGATTTGATTTAGATCAAATCGATTTAAATCACAGTTTAAATCACTAGTCAGTAAGACTTGATTTAAACCATCTTTTTACAGAAAGACTCATTCTTGCTGGTATAATATTAATATTTACAACCGGAGGAAGGTTTCATTTTTGGAATAATAAATTTTCAGAGTAGTTGTTACAGTTACAGTTACAGTCCAAAATTACTGATTCGGTTATACTATTAGAAATTCATAGACAGATAAGTTAGTGGGACGCGGGTGGTGCTGTGGGTTAAACCACAGAGCCTAGGACTTGCTGATCACAAGGTCGGCGGTTCGAATCCCCGCAACGGGGTGAGCTCCCGTTGCTCGGTCCCTGCTCCTGCCAACCTAGCCGTTCGAAAGCACGTCAAAGTGCAAGTAGATAAATAGGTACCACTCTGGTGGGAAGGTAAACGGCATTTCCGTGTGCTGCTCTGGTTCGCCAGAAGCGGCTTAGTCATGCTGGCCACATGACCCGGAAGCTGTACGCCGGCTCCCTCGGCCAGTAAAACGAGATGAGAGCCACAACCCCAGAGTCGGTCACGACTGGACCTAATGGTCAGGGGTCCCTTTACCTTTACCTTTACCTTAATAAGTTAACTGTTTATATTTGGGCAACTTTTCTGCTGTACTTTATTGGAAGGAGAAGAGTAATCATTTCCTTAATAACAATTTAAACAACTTGTTTTACTAAAACAATAACATTCTAGCATACGTATCCATGCTCGTTAACTTATGTGGTTGAACAATTTTTTTAAAAAAAAACTTAGACTGAGTTTTAGCACACATGAAAAACTTAAAACAAATCCTTATTTCCTGATGGATAGGCATTGGACTATAATGTAACGTAACTAGAAAACTATAGAAATCTGATTTAAATTTTAAAAATCTGTTTTTGGTTTTTTAAAATCATTGATTTTTATCCACCCTGATCCTGATGCCTCCCCAAGGAATGGTACCACCCACTTTAGGAACCACTGCTTCAGATTATTTATGCGAAAGGTAAAAGACGCAAGTGTCAACACCGATCCTTTGGGGACTCCACAATTGGGAGAAGAGTCCATTTATCCCCATGCTGGACTTCCTGCTCCTTAACCAGCCCCTGATCCCAAGGAGTTACTGGCGTTTGAATTCAACATGCCACAGTCACCTCCCTCCTGCCCGCTTGGCAGCTTTGCGCTTGACTGTACCCCTCCGGTGCATTCGCCCGTGGTGAGATGTGCTGCGACATTTCTTGCAAAACAATCACCGGCTGGAAAACCGTGGCCTGCATCCCTGCGCTGGCCCTCCTTTCCGAGCAACTGCCGACTCGCGGCAGTCAGCTCGAAGCGCCTCGCTTTTTGCCCCTTGTAACAAAACATTAAGCGACCCGCACGAGACGCATCCGTGCACGTCTGGGTTGACGTTTTAATCTGTCAAAACGGAGGCTTGTAAGGGGAAACGACTCGGATGCATATAAGCGCACGTTTAGCTAGCAAGTGCACGACCTGCTTCAGAAAATTGAAAAGACGTGTGCGGCACAGCGGGGAGCTACTAGTGTGTGGACAGGAAGCGCTAACTGCAGAAGACTGGCAAGAGAAGCCCAACGGCAGGATCAGATCGAAGGTTCAGCTAGTCTGGCGTCCCATCGCCACCCAGTGGCCAACCAGATGCCCTGATGAAAGCCCGAATGCAACAGGACTCTTCACCGCTTGGCACTCCTAGTAGTTGGCATTCAGGGGCATACTGCCCCCAACAGAGGAGGAAGAACACATCCATTGTGGCTGGTAGCCATTGTCGACATGCGGAGGGCCGGGAGGCCAGCTGACAAGCCCCAGCCTGTGCCGTCTCCATCCATCGGCCCATGCTCCGACATAAATTAGCAACCTGGACTTCAAAAGCCAGGGCACACGATTAGCAGAGTGTGCTGCGCACTCAGAATAGGCCTGAGGCTTGTGAAGTCATACTTTAACTATAGATTTATTAAACATAAATCAGAACAAAGAAACATGTCTCTCTCTCATGTCGTCTCGGAGAGAACAGCAAAAGCTATACACAAACGGAAGTTCCCAGCAAGCTGTGCTGGAATGTAAACAGACATGTGACATGCAACAATCTCATGCCTGTTCCTTAAGGTGGAATGGAAATGTCAACAGCAGGCGGGTGTGGGGGACTCCCTGGTCCTGAATGGGGTAACTGTGCCCCTGAAAGACCAGGTGCACAGCCTGGGAGTCATTCTGGACTCACAGCTGTCCATGGAGCCGCAGGTCAATTCTGTGTCCAGGGCAGCTCTTTATCAGCTCCATCTGATACGCAGGCTGAGACCCTCCCTGCCCGCGGACTGTCTCACCAGAGTGGTATATGCTCTAGTTATCTCTCACTTGGACTACTGCAATGTGCTCTATGTGGGGCTATCTTTGAAGGCGACCCGGAAACTACAACTAATCCAGAATGCGGCAGCTGGGAGCAGCCGCTGAGACCATATAACTCCGGTCTTGAAAGACCTACACTGGTTCCCAGTATGTTTCCGAGCACAATTCAAAGTGTTGGTGCTGACCTTTAAAGCCCTAAATGGCCTTGGTCCAGTATACCTGAAGGAGCGTCTCCACCTCCATTGTTCTGCCTGGACGCAGAGGTCCAGCGCTGAGGGCCTTCTGGCGGTTACAGGGAACCAGGCAGAGGGCCTTCTCGGTAGTGGTGCCCGTCCTGTGGAACGCCCTCCCATCAGATGTCAAAGCGATAAACAACTACCTGACATTCAGAAGACATCTGAAGGCAGCCCTGTTCAGGGAAGTTTTTAATATGTGACATTTTAGTGTATTTTTCATCTTTGTTGGAAGCTGCCCAGAGTGGCTGGGGAAACCCAGCCAGATGGGCGGGGTACAAATAATAAATTATTATTATTATTATTATTATTATTATTACCCGCCAATCTTCCTGCAAAAAAATCCGGATGAATGTGCAATAAACAGGCCATCTGTGAGCACCTAGATGCCCACTGCCCTGACCCCACAACTGTGTTTTTGGTTACTGCTGCACTCTTGGGGGAGAAAAATTAAAAGCGGCACGGGTGACTTTCTATTGAGTCCAGCACCAAGGGCCTTCTGACGGTTCCCTCACTGCGAGAAGCCAAGTTACAGGGAACCAGGCAGAGGGCCTTCTCGGTGGTGGTGCCCGGCCTGTGGAACGCCCTCCCACCAGATGTCAAAGAGAAGAAAAACTACCAAACTTTTAGAAGACATCTGAAGGCAGCCCTGTTTAGGGAAGCTTTTAATGTTTAATAGGTTATTGTATTTTAGTGTTTTGTTGGAAGCCGCCCAGAGTGGCTGGGGAAACCCAGCCAGATGGGCGGGGCATAAATAAATAAACAAATTATTATTATTATTATTATTATTATTATTATTATTATTATTATTACTACTACTACTACTACATCCATGAATTTGCCTAATCCTTCATCCAAAGCCATCCTAGTTGTTGGCCATGACTGCATCAAGCTGGAGCGAGTTCCACTCTTTAAGTAGCTCCAGCTGTCAGCTGCCTCTGGGATGTTCACAAAGTGGGGGGGGGGGAGACTAAGAGCCCTTCCTGTTTGATCCCCAGTAGCTGGTATTCTGTGGTACACTGCTTCTTGCTCTGGAGGTTCCACTTAGCTGTCCCTGTTCCTTATGACTTTGAATAAATCTTACAGATATTTCCACTTCTGGGGCATTTTTCCATCAAGGGTGATATCCAACGAAATCGCTCTGCTAGAAGAAAGGACATCTGGCCGCAGCATCAGACTCCTCCACTCCTTTCCACACATGCACCTCTTAAATCTATTTTGGTTGTTCACCCAGTTCTGCAGAGCAGATCTGCGGAGGGTATGGAGAGAGGGAGGAGAAGTTCCATGATGGAAGCAGAAATCCTTGCACTTCTAGCAGAATGACTGTGGCCACTTTAAGGATCAACCAGCACATAACCCCTTAGTCCCCGTATCCTACTATAACTAAGCCTGCAATTGAAATAAATGCACATTCTTCCTCCAGTTACTCACGACTCCATACCTTGCCTCTGTTTGCTCCCCGGACTTAAATTGTAAGCTCCTTGTGGGCAGGGACTTAACCCATTACTGTGATTTGGAAAGTGTCATGCACTTTTCTGCTTACGCATAGAATTTCCTCTCTGCAGCCCAGCAAAAAGACTATACGTTGCCTCTTTCCATCAGAATTCTTTGTTTTTTACGCTTGCCATGTTGTTGTCATTGTTGTTGTCGTTTAGTCGTGTCCGACTCTTCGTGGCCCCCTGGACCAGAGCACGCCAGGCACTCCTGTCTTCCACTGCCTCCCGCAGTTTGGTCAAACTCATGCTGGTAGCTTCGAGAACACTATCCAACCATCTCGTCCTCTGTCGCCCCCTTCTCCTTGTGCCCTCCATCTTTCCCAACATCAGGGTCTTTTCCAGGGAGTCTTCTCTTCTGCTGAGGTGGCCAAAGTCCTGGAGCCTCAGCTTCAGGATCTGTCCTTCCAGTGAGCACTCAGGGCTGATTTCCTTAAGAATGGATACATTTGATCTTCTTGCAGTCCATGGGACTCTCAAGAGTCTCCTCCAGCACCAGAATTCAAATGCATCAATTCTTCGGCGACCAGCCTTCTTTATGGTCCGGCTCTCACTTCCATACATCACTACTGGGAAAACTATAGCTTTAACTATACGGACCTTTGTTTGAATAACTCAGAGAAGCTATGAGCTATGCCGTGCAGGGCTACCCAAGACAGACAGGTCATAGTGGAGAGTTTTGACCAAAGGTTATCCACCTGGAGCAGGAACCGGCAAGCCACTACAGTATCCCTGCCAAGAAAACTCTATGGACAAAGACAACAGGCTTGCTATGTTACAGATTTTTAAAATAACTCTTTCCTAGCTGTGCCCTTTGCTCTGCTTAATTGAAGACCCTCTCTCTATTTTTATTTTTTTGCCCCCGCAGGCCGGCCACCCATTCCAGCAGCGCTGTGCCCAGTCCGCCTACTCCAACAGCAAGCAGAAGTGGGAAGCCCCCGTCTTCCTTCTCTTCCTGGACTGCGTCTGGCAGATCCTCCGCCAGTTCCCTTGCTCCTTCGAGTTCAACTACCACTTCCTGATCATGCTCTTCGAGCATTCGTATGCCTCCCAGTTCGGCACTTTCCTGGGCAACAATGAAAGCGAAAGGTAGGTGAGCTTTTCGCTTCTGGGGTTCCCTGAGGCAAAGAGGGAGGGGTGTCGGCATCCTAGGCAGTCTCAGTTGCACTCTGCATCATGGATGAGAAAACACAAAGGGATGTAGGGGTCTAGGCAGTCTCAGTTGCACTGTGCAATATGGATGAGGCTCATAATGAGGAATATACAAGCCTCTTGGCAGTGGCATAAAAGGCAATCAATAAGTCAATACAGTGGTACCTCGGGTTACAGATGCTTCAGGTTACATACGCTTCAGGTTACAGACTCCGCTAACCCAGAAATAGTACCTCGGGTTGAGAACTTTGCTTCAGGATGAGAACAGAAATTGTGCAGTGGCGGTGCGGTGGCAGCAGGAGGCCCCATTAGCTAAAGTGGTGCTTCAGGTTAAGAACAGTTTCAGGTTAAGAACGGACCTCCGGAATGAATTAAGTGCTTAACCCGAGGTACCACTGTAATTATGATCATCACTGATTTATTAATCAATTGCTTACATCCATTAATCATCCATTTTTATTTTTTTTACTGAGCTTCTGAGCTAGTTTAGAGTTTTGCTTTGTAGGATATCGGGTGACTAGCAGGTAGTGAACCGCCGATTAGTATACAAATGAAATAAATAGTCATAACACTGTGTGGGCCTGGATTTTTGTGCAAACCCTCCGTGTTTATATCTCGGAGGTGACCTTGAACTGTATAATAACAACCAGCTAATCCACAAGCACTTATGTTTCCAACCACAAGGGGGAAGCTGCGCTTCATGTTACTGGGCAGTGTTGCTGAAACATCGCTTTTATTTGCACAGAGTAGCAAAGAGGCGCATTTTCTAAATTTCTACATTTGCAAAACGGGCTTTACTGGCTTGCTCTTCATTGGCCCCTGCAAGAGTTCCTTCACACCTGCCTTTGGCTTATTCAGGAGCACGTGATCTACTGTTTTCCCTGGGGTCAGTGTTGGTATCCAGAGTTTCACTTGGTGCTCCCTTGATTCCATGGGGATTTAGGCAAAGGCAGCATGAAGGTCTCTTGTTTCTGCCTTCTCACATGCCCTGTACAGAGAGTGTGTGTGTGAGAGAGAGATCCAACTTCCTCTAGGTTGTTTGCAAAATTGCAGAGAAATCAGGGGAAATATTTGGCAACAAGCAGGTGATTCCCATGCTTTCTGAACCCTTAGGCCTGACTTTGTGAATGGAGTTGATGTTTTTTTATGCTCAAAAGAGACATGTGGCTGACGGCTGGTCTCTTTGCCAGGTGTAAGCTCAAGCTGCCCCAGAAGACGATGTCCCTGTGGTCCTGGGTGAATCGGCCGGAAGAGCTCAACAGATTCAAGAACCCCCTCTTTGAGGCCAACAGCCTGGTCATCTGGCCTTCTGTGGCACCGCAGAGCCTGCAGCTCTGGGAAGGTAGGTCGTAAAGAAGTTCTTTGATCTGGTGCAATTTGCGGATGCCCTGGTGGTGGCAGTGGCTGGCAGCAAGTTCTGCCTGCTTAGGCTGGCATGCTAGCTGTCCCCTTTCTTTGGGAAAGGAAGATATTCCTGGCCATAGTCAGGCACCCGTGCCTTAACATCATCACAGAAACATCTGTCTTTGGTCATTCCCTGAATTGGTGAGGCTCATTTAACAACAGTGAGAAACCGAGTCTTTCATGTCATCAGCCCAGTCCTCTGGAACTCTCTGCCACTAGATATTCAGCAGGTGCCTTCTGTTCCTGCTTTTAAACACCTGCTTAAAACTCGTCTATCCTGCCAGGCCTATGCAGGCAGTTAATAATACACAACGGTTCATTGATGTCTATTTTAAACTTTTTATGGTTTTATTGTTTGCTTTTGTTGCTTTAAACTGCTCCAATATGTGTGGTGGGTTTTAATGACACAGTAGTATGCAAATATTTTTTGTAAATAAATAAGATGCCAGCATGTTGCCCCTGGGCACTAGTGTGCCTCCCTTTGCCCGCAGAGGATCTGGGGAAGTAACCTCTCAAAAATCCACAATGCGTAAGAAACCATTTAATCTTCCTGCCCAGTTCCTGTTTGCGCTCACTCAGCCTCTCCTGCATTGAACACCCAGTCAAGACGGTCACGTTTCATGGGATGCCAGGATTAGATGCCCACCCAGCCCTCTATTCCGAACGGTGTAGAGGTGCAAAGCGCTTCTCACTTCAAGGATTGCCTCCTCTTGGAGTCACATTCCCGTACGTTCACCACCAGAGGTCCTGCTCCATTTCCTCCTCTCATCACAGGTTTGGCAACAGGGCACAGCATGTTTCAATGATTACGTGGCCTTTATTTTCTTGGACTGCGAGAGAAAAGTTGCATGACCTTTTCACCCTCTGCTAGCAGGAAAACCAGCTGTGCAAAGGGGATTTTGAGCAGATAAAGTCCCTGGGAGGACATTGTGGTTAGAGTGTTCAGGCTATGACCTGGGAGACCCGAGTTCAAATCCCCAATCAGCCATAATGTTCGCTGGGTGACCTTGCGCCAATCACTGTCTCACCCTTACAGGGTTATTGTTAAAGGCGAAATGTGGATGAAAGGGGATTTATATATCACACTTTGCACAGGTGGTTTACGATAAAAACTGGTCAAGAAGAATACATTTAAAAAGCCACAATCCATTAAAACACACACACAAATCACTAAATGCCACTTGTTAATAGCAGTAGCAATCTGGTCTCCTGAAATAAAATTACTTTCCCAAGTACAGGAAACTGATCCTACTATAGTCTCCAACCTTTTTTTTTTTTTTGGTCTTCATCTTAAAAACTACTCCCTTTTGGTCTTCAAGATTATTGCTGTTTCTACATCTTTTCCCTTTTCCCTTTTCTTGCGAGGAATCCTTTTCGGAATAAGGGAATTTCCCTTTAAAAAAGGAAAGCATTGACAGCTATGCGGTACAAAGACTCAAGTTCACAGTCAAAAGTTTTGGCACGTTACATTTTGCGTCTTATTCCATATTTCTCAATTGTCTGAGAAATTTTTTTTTATCTCCCACACCAGGTGTCTTCCTCCGCTGGAACCGGTCGTCCAAATTTCTGGATGAATCCTACGAAGAAATGATCAACATCATCAAGTACAATAAGGAGCTGCAGGTGAAAGTCAACCTGCTGAGGCGGCAGCTGGCCGAGCTGGAGACGGACGACACCACGCAGGAAGACGGGGTGCCGGAGAGCCCCTGAGGCTGCGCCAGGCTCCCTGCCGCGGGCCAGATTGTCCCCCTTTCTCTGTCGGGCAAGTCGCCCCCACACACTATAAAGCACTAAACCCTCCAAGACTTGCATGCGCTCGAGCTCCTTTCTGGTGAAGTCGAGTCGAACATTCCCCCCCCACACACACACGTTGTCTTTATTATTATTATTATTATTATTATTATTATTGCATCTCAGTTCCTCACTTGACACTATTTTCTCCCCCTCTCTCACCTCCCCCCTCCTGTTTTGGAATGGCGGCATTTCTCTTTTGTTTACAGGAGAAGACTCTTGATTTAATTCAGCTGACTGTCCTCTCCCGGCAGCTCTTGCCACCTCTAATAAATGGTGTGTACAGTTCCAGTGTCAGCGCTAGCCGCTCCCGAACCTCATCCCCCGTGTGGCATTCAGCAGGGGGTGCCTTTTGGTCTTTTGACTTGAGAGAGGTTTCATTCATTCAGGACTTGGCAGGTGTCTTGTGCTCTTTGCCTGGCCTGAGAAAGGCTGTCTTGATGACGCATCTATCCTGCTTCTCCCAAACGCATGGGTTTTAGTTTTTTTATTTTGTTCCTGGGCTAGACAGCACGCTTCAGCTTAATCCAAATCCAAATAGCATCTTTCCGTGCTTGGCACTGAGGCACACAGACGGTAAACGTGGAGAGGATCTCTCGCAAAAGGCAGGGACTCCTTTCCACCGCTTTCCTTGGGTGCCTCCTACACCATCCTGAAATCTTAATTTGGTTATCTGAATGGGCACAAGATAAAATGTATGGTAGAGCCCTTTAAGGACCGTACCACTTCACGCTAGGGGGGAGGGGGGTGTTGTTGGAAGGTTGCCCATTGTGTTTGCGGGAGAGTTTGTTCTTAAGCCCTGCATGTGGAAAGTGAGAATGGCTTGCCAGCTTTTCATAAACACATGAGCGGAGAAGACCAAAGACCCACCTCATCCAGCGTCCTGTTTTCTCACAGCCTGATGCCTCCGGGAAGCCCACAAGTAGGAGGTGAGGCCAACGGCCCTTCCTGCTGTTCTCCCAAAGCGAGTGACATTCAGAATTCTGCTTCCCACGGGCCCCTGGGTGGCCACTGAGAACAGGATGCGGGACTAGATGGACCATTGGCCTGGTCCAGCAGGCACTTACAGGATAGGTGCTAAGCAAATCATTCCTCGAGTGCAGCTTTGGATATCAGCTTACGTTGCAGAACTCCCCCGCATGCCTCCTGAATCTTTCCTAGGGGTTCCCCCAAGCCTTGGGATCCGATTTAGGGAGGGCTCCGGGAGGGCGGTTCCTGTTGCGCAAGCAGGAAACCTTGCTCCGAAGGGACAGGGCAGCTGATCAACCCCCAGGGAATGTTTCTGCTGCGGAGGAAACATCCATACTGATGGTCCTCTCGCTTGCTCCCAGGAGCGGCTGACCTACCTGCCTCAAACCAGCCTCCACCAACCTGGTGCCCTCCGGATGTTTTGGACTCCCATCATACCCCCTAGGAATTGTAGTTCTGGAGGGCGCAAAGGGTTTGTGAATGCTGGTGAAGATCTCAGCTCTGAGGATCAAGCAGGCGTCCCATGTAGGAAGAAGCATGCCAAGACTATGGCTCCATAATCTCCCGAACTTGATTGTTGCCTATGTTATTTAATAGGAAGAAAACGGAGGTTAAGCCATGATGGCAAGTGTGCTTTGCAAAGCCTTATCCTAACGCCATGGAATCTTAAGACTTGCTCTGTGGGCCATGAAGCCCAGGATTTAAAAGCTTCCAAGTGGAGTGACGGAATTCCAGCCCGCCAAACTGAACAGGGAAGCCCCTGTGTTTGCTGTCTGGGATAGATTCCGAATAGGATAGATTCTGAATATCTGCTAGGCTTGCCGTTCCCAGCTGGTCGTCTGTATTCAGCTTAGCTCGCACGTGCAGTCAGTTTGGTGTGGGTTGAGCTCTCATCTCTGATCCTGTGGATCTAAGGCCTGCTCATGGAATCAGGATCTCCAGATAACCATCTCCTCTGCTTGTGTGTGTCTTTGCACCTGCTCATCCTTTGGCAATGGGTGACTAACGCTTGGTGTGGCCGCTGCCGTCGCGTCTTATTGTGGAACCTCGAGTGAGTCAAAGCCTTTTGGAGAACATTGCTGTGCTTTTTGGCTGTGCGGTTTGAATATATATATATTATAGCTCCTCCTGTGGCTTAAAATCTTTGCCACCCTTTTCAGGTGGCTGTGGCCTAGATGCTTTTTTCTGACTACCATCTATACAGCTGTTTTTCCTCCTAGTATTGAAATGCTTTTACGGCCTGCTTCCACCCCACTTCCTGCAGACTCCCCATCTCTTAACCCTCTCCTCCTCTCATACGGCCCCTCCTCATCTGAAGCGGTGTGAAATTCCTCATGCCCCCTCTCTGGATAGTTGCCTCCTCTTGCCATGGGTCCCAGCCAAACTGACAACTCTCGCTTCCCTCACAGAACCAGGACACCAAAGGTTTGCTGGGCAGCTGAACACGTCGCCGCATCAGCTCGGCCATTTGCTGTCAGGGCTTCCCTCCCACCCCAACAGATGCGAAAGATGATTGGATCTGACACGAGGCGCTTTTGCGAAACCGGTGGTTCATTGCAAACCAATATTTTTATGGTGCTGAAATACAGGTTCCGCTGTCGCTTACTAAGTTTGGCAAAGTGCTTCCTGGAGAGGTTACAACTTGTTCCTCCTTAGAACTTGCCGCTGCCCAGGAGGGCAGGTATTCTAAATCTGGAATAGGCAATCGACGGTTGTTACCTGACTTGCATATCTCCCCCATTCTGTCTCTTGGTGGGGGGGGGGAGGAATCCCTGCACTTAGGGACAGTGTCCTTGCCATTCCCAATAGCACACATTTCTGTCCCTCTTGGAGAGGGCAAGCACATCCTGGGCTAACCAGCTACAGCCCCTGTCGGTGCTTGCAATGAACACTCCATCCCAGGTCTTTTGGCATGGACAGAGCGCTGGGCGGAGAGGCAGGGATTTCTCTCATCTGGGTTGGTGCAAGGGGAAGGCAGTCCTACCTTCCCCCAAGCCGCAGGGGGGAGCTCAGAGCTGCTGGGCACCCTCCAAGTCTTTGACAAGTAGGCCTGTAGACACCTTCCCTTGGCTTTGCATCACATTGCAGTGTAAAAGGGACAGACCTGGTTGAAAATGCGCTGTGTTAGTGGTTTGCTTTCCAGGGGAAAGAGTAAAATCTCAGGGTAAAAGGTTGCTCAGTTTGAGTGCATTTGCTGTTAGCTTCAGCTTGTGTTCTCTTCCGTTAGACACCCCCACCCCAAGGATGGGGGTTCCTGTGACTTTCCAGGGGGACTCCCCAAGCCCCATTAGCCCTAGCCAGCATGTCCAGTGGTTGGAGGTGAAGGGAGCTGTAACCCAACAACCTTTGGAGGGCCATAGGCTCCTTTCCCCTGCCCTAGATGCATCCTAGCTCTGCCCCCACTCTGCTTCAGCCCTAATCTATGGAGCATCATCCTTATGTTCCCAGTCTCTTTAAGTTTTGGGCAATAAACTGGAGGAGAATTGGAAGCCCTTATAGACACAGGTTTCTCTTCAGATTGTATAAATCTTTCGCCTTTTACTTACAGACACGGTTCAGTTTCTGGAGGCCTAAGAAAGATCAAACCTAATTCCAGAACTGGTTTCAGTTTCAGTCCCTTCTCAAATTTGCCTGGTTTTGAAATAGTTCTTCTTCCTCTTCCTCTTCTTCTTCTTCTTCTTCTTCTTCTTCTTCTTCTTCGTCGTGCTTATTCTTAAAGGATTTTTTAAAAGCTCGTTCATAATCTTTGAAGGCTGGCACTGTATGGTTCTTAATCTCGATTGCACTGTTTGAAAACAGCTAATCTTTTGGTGCTTTTAATTTTTTTAAGTATCTGGTTAAAGGGAGTTGTACATACAGTCTGTAATATTATTATTATTATTATATTTTTATTATTTCATGTTGTTTGCTTGGTTTTGAAACTGTGGTGAATGTTGCCAGCTGAAGCATTAATCATGTTGATTCCAGTTGTTAGACGCCCATGTGAGTTTCATTGGGGCAAAGGATCTTGGGACTCCCCTGAAGGCATCTTTTCCAAGTGCATTTCTACACTACAAAGAATTCTGGGAATTGTAGTCCTGGGAGATGGTTGGGAATTCTTCCAGGTGTATTCCAAAAAGCCTTCACAGAATCACAATTCCTAATGATTGGACCTGTCGTAAATCCCCTCTCCCATTTTTATTTTTCTGTATATATACATAGGTGCTGGTTAAAAATTGGTGTGAGGACACCAGAATCTGCTTGCCTACTTGTTTTCGGAAGTGATTATTTTTCACCCAGTTAAAGCAGTAAAACTGCATTTTCTTTCTTTCTTTCTTTGATGCTGTTGCAAAGGGTGACATGAAATTATGCTACTGATAATTTTTCCCCTCAAGTTCACTACTGTACCAAGAATGATATTCAGCTATGTTTGCTCATAGTAGGCCCACTGAAATGAATGAGCACAGCCAAGTTAAGACCATTAATTTCAATAGGTCTGCTCTTGAGTAAAGCATAGCTTAATACCACCCCAAATCTTCAACCTATTTCTGATGAGTTATGGGCTCAGCCAGTTACTGTGAAAACAGAGAAAAGCTATTTTTGAGCAGTCGGATTCCTAACTGTCTAGCTGTACATCTCCCTCCTTGAATGCTTACATCTGAAGAAATTGGTGAGCTTGCTGTGATTGATAGGTGTCAGATTCTCGTCATGTTGCAGATGTGTTCCTGTTCCGATTTCCACTTTGTCGAGTCCCCCTCTTTAAATGTTTTGAAGTTACGGCTTCATCCTGGCATTCAAGAAGACTCTGCTACCTTGATTTTTGAAATTAGCACGCGTTTAGGAAACAACTCGTTCCTTGGATCAATCCATATTCTTCTGAACCTCTGCTGTTCCACAGTAAGAGGCCCAGGTATCTGCTTACTTTTCAAGTACTTGGCATTGTGATGTGCCCTTGCTGGACATAGAATCCCCCCACCACCACCAATAATTAATGTGCTTAGCAGAAATGCTCGAGAGCTTTAAATTTGGCCCACGTTGCTTTGCTATGGTTGCATCAGCTGGATACATCCCTGCTGGTGTGGCTAACGCTTGAAATTGTGTGAGGTTGCACAAGCGCCCAGACCCAAATGTTGATGGAGAACTCACCAAATTCACTGCGTCGCCAACTGTACTTTGCCAGAGGAAGATCAGGATAGCAGAGGAGGAAGGCAAGGTCTCACATTGGGTTCCTCGGACAGGGGAAGAAGGAAAGACTTGGGCAATGATGGAGCCAAGCACTTTTTTCACTTGTGTCCATGGATGATATGAGTTATAGGCTTAGTGAGTTACTGTGAAAACAGAAAAAAGGGATGCCTGCTGAAAGCTTTGCTCGAGGCTTCCCAAACTCCTGGTGCCAGTCCTCCTCTTAAATTTGGGAGCTTGTGCAACCTTCAAAACGCAAAGCCTTTTAAGTAGTCCTACTCGCCAGAGCATGAGCCAGACGGAAACCTATAGTTACCCCTGCTACCCATACCTCCAGCCAATGTCTCCCATATCTTAATTATTCTGTTGGATGCTCTTGAGAAAGGTAGAATGTAGGAAGCCATGGTCGACCTTCCAAAGGGAAACACTTTTGTCGTAGATTGTTTGCATCGAACGCTGAACATTTCTGATTGTACCCAAGCTTTACTGTTTCCCGTGCGGCTTGGGGTGCCTGGATGCAGTGACCCTGCCCTTCAGCGGCACAAAGGACAGCCCCACAAGTGTGTACACAGTTTGCCAAAAATGACTTGATTTTGCACGTTGGGAGTTGAATTCAGTAGTGGGCATTGCACCTTTACAGGGAGGGCTGCAGTTTGATTGTATTTGGGACTGAGCGTTTTCTTGAATGTGGCAATCTTGTTTTCAAGTGCACTACTGTTTATTGTCTCCTCCATCTCTGATATTTAATGTCATATTGGCGCCTTGATGCTTTCTTAAGCCTTGCAAAAGAAAAAAAAGAAAAAGCAGTGCTTTTCTTTATAAAGCAGGAAAACTCCAGTATATTAGCAGATCTTTGTGCAGCGGAGTAGAACCATTGTAGCCCTACTGTACCACACCGTGTCTGTTAACTATTTACAAACTAAGTTGTAACTGCATCTCATTCCTAAATGTGGGCCTTCTGCTGCTTCCGAGTTTTCATTTTTCAAGCGAACCAGACCTGGGAGCACCTGGGGGTAATCGTGCGCTCGCATGCTGGAGAATGTTGGCCGTTTTCTGTACAGAATCTGGAAACGCTGTTACACGGCCTTTTGTCAGAGAGGGGAATAAATTTTAAAAAGAGAGTGGGGAAGGGTTTGAAGTTTATTCGTCTGTTTTAGGAAAGCTGCAGTGGAAAAATAGCTATCAACTTTGCTTTTAGATTTGTGGGTGTAGCGTAAATGATCTCAATTAAAATATTTAAAGACTTTTTTTGCTACACTTGTATCTTTCTTGTCTGCCTTTCCAGTGTCATTTATTTTATGAAATTTGCGAGGAATTCACATTCAAACTGATTTATGCATGCAGATTAGATCATTGTGTTACCAACTCCTGGAGATTCACTCCCTCCCTCCCCGCACTTTCTAAATATATCCTGCCTTCTGGGAGAAACCATTTGGGTCAGTATTTTTATACTGCTTTTCAGCCATAACTGTCTCTAAGCCAGTCATAGGCAAACTCAGCCCTCCAGATGTTTTTGGCCTACAACTCCCATCATCCCTAGCTAACAGGACCAGTGGTCAGGGATGATGGGAATTGTAGTCCCAAAAAATCTGGAGGGTCGAGTTCGCCTATGCCTGCTCTAAGCGGTTCACATCAAGAAGGCCATAAGTATAGGTAAGTAAAGGTAAAGGTACCCCTGCCCGTACAGGCCAGTCTTGACAGACTCTGGGGTTGTGCGCCCATCTCACTCAAGAGGCCGGGGGCCAGCGCTGTCCGCAGACACTTCCGGGTCACGTGGCCAGCATGACAAAGCTGCATCTGGCGAGCCAGCGCAGCACACAGAACGCCATTTACCTTCCCGCTGGTAAGCGGTCCCTATTTATCTACTTGCACCCGGGGGTGCTTTAGAACTGCTAGGTTGGCCCGCGCTGGGACCGAGCAGTGGGAGCGCACCCCGCCGCGGGGATTTGAACCGCCGACCTTTCGATCGGCAAGCCCTAGGCGCTGAGGCTTTTACCCACAGCGCCACCCACGTAGGTAGGGTTGCCATATTTCAGAAACTAAAAACCAGGACACCCTGAAAGTTGTTGAGCTTTTTCCCTAGCACTATTGTGCTTTTTAATGAAATCAATGGGAAATCCAGACATATGGCAACCCTAGTAATATTGCCCCCAATAGTAATGGACCCAGAATACCAGGTGCTGACTCTGGCATTCAATAATGGTACCTTTTGGCTCCTGCCTCTGCACCCCTGGAAGGTGGTGGTAACAAAAGCCAATATTGGGGGCAGATGATGCTCAGAGTCCTCTCCTAAGCCCAACAAATGTTCCTCAAGCTGCTATGAGCAAGAGAGAAAGAGCTATGAATCAGGAAGTCCCTGGTACCAAATCTCAGTACAACCATGAACCCAGTAGTAGTGTAGGAGAGCTGAAACAACATCATTGGCAACCAATGCACTCCTTTGGTTTTGGATAGTACATGGGTAAAAGGTAAAGGGACCCCGACCATTAGGTCCAGACGTGGCTGACTCTGGGGTTGCGGCGCTCATCTCGCTTTACTGGCCGAGGAAGCCGGCGTACAGCTTCCGGGTCATGTGGCCAGCATGACTAAGCTGCTTTTGGCGAACCAGAGCAGTGCACGGAAATGCCATTTATCTTCCCACTGGAGCGGTACCTATTTATCTACTTGCACTTTGATGTGCTTTTGAACTGCTAGGTTGGCAGGAGCAGGGACCGAGCAACGGGAGCTCACCCCGTCATGGGGATTCCAACCGCCGACCTTCTGATCAGCAAGTCCTAGGCTCTGTGGTTTAACCCACAGTGCCACCCGCGTCCCAATACATGGGTAGACGACGTCTAAAAATTCCTGGACACAAATTTTCATAGCCTCCTTGAGCTATGGCGGCTCATTTCCCATAAGTAATGTATTTAGCATTAATTCTGGAAGTGTCTCCTTGATTCTGACCAAAACTACGCTTGCTATAGCGTAATATACATCAGGAAGCTGTGCCTTGGGATAGATGAGAGGGGAAACGAACCTGGGCTTGATCTTAAGTGGCGGCCAAGACCTGATGCAAGATGCTGAACCGATTGGGTATGGTGAATACAGTGCTATCAAGTTCAGCACAGCATGGTGGACTGTGTACTCTTTGACCTGCATAGCAATATACCTTCAGCATGCGCTTCTCTTTCCGAAAATAAACATACCCCACCAAGTCTCTCCATTCCACCCGGTTTGTGTTACACTCATATCACCAAAATCTCCCTTGAAACCAAGCATTCCAGCTCACTCATTTTGGCTTATCGGTTTCTAGTATTTTGCACAGTAGAACCTATACTGTACATGATGTGTTGTTTCCCAATGTCTCTACCACCTGTGTTTTTGCTCCTGAGCGTAAGCATCTGGGAAGCGTGGTCTTTTCCAAAGACAATTCTTCATCTTGGTGGAAGGGAGTATGGGAGAAACGAAAGCAAGCGATCGAAGCAAATGCAGCAATGGTGCAGGGGCAAGCCCAAAACATCTGTGTCAGGAAATGCAGCGATGTCCCTTTATGATACTGGCTTGGTTTCAAGCTGAACTTTCTTCCCCCACTCCCAAAAGAAAAATTGTCTGTGCAAATAAAGAAGTTGGTAGACCTGCTGACTCCCACTTCAAAAGTGACAACTGACTAGATCAGTAAGGTAATGTCATGTAAAAGGTAAGAGAGTATTGGGAAATGATTCATATCATAATGAATTAAAAAAAATGTTTAAAATTGCTTTTTCAAAAAACCCAGAGTCCTTTCTGTTGGGGGTAACTCGGACTGAAATCCCCAGGCGTCAGAAAAGGTTATTTATGTATGCAACAACTGGAGCCCACGTTTTGTTAGCCCAGAAATGGAAGATGAGTGAGGTCCCAACCAAAGAAGATTGGCAACTAAAATTGACAGAATATCCACAACTTGCAGACTTAACATATAGAATAAGAGAGCAAGAAGAACATACGTTTAAAGAAGATTGGAAAACGTTTATTGAGTATATGGAAAATAGCTGTGTACAGCTGAAAACGCTGGCAACATTAAGATAAATTAAACAGTGTAAGTAATTTTTGACGGATGTAATAACGCCAAACTGATTGAAATAGTTTTTGTAAAATATGTAGGGATGGAAGAGATGCAAAATGAACCATGGAAAGAGAGAAGGAGCGTCACTGATGTGTATGTAAAATGGTTATTTGAAATTGTAAAACAAAATTTAATAATTATATATATATATATCCCTCGCAGTGAGGGAACCGCCAGAAGGCCCTTGGCGTGGGACCTCAGTGTCCCGGTTGAACGATGTGGGTGGAGATGCTCCTTCAGGTATACTGGGGCGAGGCCATTTAGGGCTTTCAAGGTCAGCACTAACACTTTGAATTGTGCTCGGAAACATACTGGGAGCCAATGTAGGTCTTTCAGGACCAACGTTATATGGTCTTGGCAGCCACTCCCAGTCACCAGTCTGGCTGCCACATTATGGATTAGTTATAGTTTCCAGGTCACCTTCAAAGGTAGCCCCACATAGAGCACATTGCAGTAGTCCAAGTGAGAGTTAACTAGAGCATGCACCACTCTGGTGAGAGAGTCTGCGGGCAGGTAGGGTCTCAGCCTGCGTACCAGATGGAGCTGATAGGCAGCTGCCCTGGATACAGAATTGACCTGTGCCTCCATGGACAGCTGTGAGTCCAAAATGACTCCCAGGCTGCGCACCTGGCCCTTCAGGGGCACAGTTACCCCATTCAGGACCAAGGAGTCCTCCACACCCGCCCCCCATCAGCCCTTGTCTTTGTGAGAACCCAAGCCTGTGGAGCCCATAGGAAGCAGCCTCCTACCAAGTCATACCACTGGCCCACCAAGGTTAGTATTGTCTACACTGACCTGCTCTCTGGGATTTGGGCAGGGGTCTTTTCCAACCTTGCCTGGAGATGCCCAGGACTGAGCCTAGGAGTTTTTTGCATGGGAAGTGGATGATCTGCCACTGGGCTATGGCCCTCCCCTGAGCTGTGAACATTTTCTGCATTTGGTGGGGAGGGGGAAATGATATTCAATGGTTAGCGATGAGAGCAGGTTTTAAGGTACAGTCATACCTCGGGTTACAGATGCTTCAGGTGGCGCAATTTCGGGTTGTGCACTGCGCCGAACCCGGAAGTACCAGAATGGGTTACTTCTGGGGTTTGGCGCTTTGCACATGTGCAGAAGCGCCGAATTGCAACCCACACATGCGCACAAGTGGCGCTGTGGGTTGCGAACATGCTTACCGCATGGATCATGTTCGCAACCCGAGCATCCACTGTAGTCTGGAAAAGTGTGCCTTTGTAACACATATCTCTGTGTGTAAGAGGGAGTAGGACCAGTATTCTCTGCGTCCAGAACACTGCTATTCTTCCATCTCATCAACAAACCATTAGGTCTATGAAATTTGGAAAATACTACTTGGCACAGAATTGTATATCCTCTACTGTTTTGTTGCCCGTGCAAAGTCAGTTCCAGGCAGGTCTGAAATAAAAATGGGTAGAGAGGAGAATTAATTAGCTCTGTGAAAAGGTTTTTAATTCCTCCCCTAAAACAAGGAGAGAAAAATAGCAGCAAGCCTAGGGAAGGCGTAAAGCAACTGCCTTCTGGAACGATTCTGCAATGTTTCCTTTTGTCTAGTTCAAAAGGCTTGTTAAGATAATTCCTGTTTTTGCTTCTGGCTCTCAGACTTGCTTTTCCTCCTAGCCAATGCAAGTCATGACTTCCTCCCCTTGAAGGGAAAATCGGGACATGTGAACTCTTGCACCACCTTGAATTGCGGGAGCATCTCTTATCGGACAAATCTAGTTTGCATTGCCCTTTTTGGGTGAAGAAGGTGGCAACGCCCAACATCTTCCCATAGGGTGTGTGAGAACCTCAGAGCTTGTGAAGGCTTCATTTGCAAAGGCTTTTATTTATTACTCATTTGCAGCAACTTCCCAGGGTGGTAGCAGTGTTAGACCACAGCAGCACCATATATTTATAGTATTCTAATGCCAATTTAAACAGTCATGGCTTCCCCCAAAGAATTCTGGGAGTCGTGGTGTGTTAAGGGTGTGCGGAGAGTTGTTAGGAGCTCACCGAGCTATAATTCCCAAGTGTGGTTCAACATTCAATCCCTCTTCACAACACTGGAAATTGTAGCTCTCTGAAGGGAATAGGGTTCTCTTAAGAACTCTCAGCACTCTTAACAAACAACAGTTCCCATAATTCTTTGGATGAAGCTTTATTCATGTC